ATTAAATAAAATATTATTAAAATACTATTAAATATTAATAAAAATATAAATTGTTGTCGAATCGGTGGGCACGTCCAATCGCTAGGACATTTATCCCACATCGACCAGCTGGATCGACGAAACCAACCCCCTGCACGTCGACAGAAGTTCGGAAAAATAGATCCGGCGACTTCGTCGATGCCAGGAGCGCGGCTCGACCGAAAAGTAGATAAAGGGGGAAGTGTGCTTGAGGCGCCCGGTGCTCGTCGGGGCATTACGTTGTCTAAGGGTGTGTTTCAAGGACAGAAAATGGCGAGGCGTTAAGCAACCGCGCGCGGCAAACTTTCGCGTCAAAGTGGTTACACGGGGAACAGCAATTTCCGGAACTTGTCGGGCCTTAAATAGTTATGATCGAGGGATGTTGCATCGCGAGCGGTGGTCGGCGGGAGGGGGGAAGGGAGGCGTTGATAAGAGAATCGCGGGTGTAAAAAGGCGCGTCGTAAAGGGCGGGCTTTCTCCGTGCATCTTGACGCCGTAAAAAAGGAAGAACGAACCCCGGGCAAACTTTTCCATCCGCTTGGCTGCTCTCGCGACGCGCTTGCACCCTCAATAATTCACTCGCGCGAGCCTCTTCCTCGCCCCCTGCACCCCCCCTCCCAATAAAAATGTTAATGCCGAATTCTCGACGAGACGCGATTATTCGGAATTTCGAGCAGCCGGCTACGTCCTGAAAGGACGACGGACAACGGACCGTGAGGTGTCTACGGAAATTCGCAGCCCTTTTAAGGGACGATTTTACTCTGATTGTCATCCTGCGGCGCCGCTCGTTGCCGGGGGGTTAATAATGCAGGGTGGGAATAAACCGGGAATCAAGTGTGCTTTGACACCGGAGACTGATACCCGGCTCGTTGATCATCAAAGTCACCCCATACCGCAACCGGAATCCAGCTTAACCCTCGGTCGGCCGCTTATGGTGGTTGGGGGTGGGTTCTCGCCTTCCAGCTGGCTTGCCATCGCTATCAACTTCGTAAAATACGCGCAGCTTCTCGAGTGTGTCTTAGGTAGCCACTCGGGAATTAGGATTCCGGTGGAGGTTCTCGGCGTAAACCACCCCCGAAACTGAAACCGGACGACCACGCTGTACTTTGACGATTCCGACTCGTCATGAAAATTTCTAGTAATTATTGAGTAATAATTATTGAGTACAGGTGTTATTCTGTCCTTTAACATTAGTTTTACGGAATCCGTCAAAATGACGGGTCACTAATTTTTTAATTTACGATTATTCATATCGTAAAGATACATTTATGAGTTATTTATTCAATTTATATGTTACTTACGGCAAATCTTACAATAACAATTGTTAAAAATCAGAATAAATGTCTTATTGTTACTTTTATAAGCTAATATAGAACAGCTGCTTTTTATGCTCCGTAAATCTAGTGTTAAAATTGGAATAAAATTCTAATCTCTTGTCGTTAATATTTATGCATTTAAGTAAATTTAGATACGCGATAAACATCAATTTTCGTTCTCTTCTAAGAAGTTATAGCAATTGATAAATTTCTAATCGCGGTAACTGCGAAGAAAATGTCAAGGGATTAAGACATTTTATTTCGAGTTTGAACCGCGACAACGCTCCTCAATTTTTAACGATCAATTTCAGTTTCAATTGCTCGACTATTCAACGCTTATTACGTCACTTTTGCAGTAGCACAGCGACCTGTTTTGCCGTTTTATAAAACGGAAACCGGGAACAAGTTCGATGTGTCACGAAATCCTATATTTTATATCATACGAAAAATAGACGACACTCTCACTGTTGTCATTTCGTTAGAAAAAATTGAACGACTATGAACGATAGCTCATTTTAAAGCTCGAAATCTCTACTTTCGCCATCCGTCGCTCATTTTCCCCTAAACTTTCTTTCCCGTAATTTACCACATTGGAAACCGAAGGTACCTTATTCGTTAAAAATGGCAAAAATTCACACGTTCCTCGAATCGGTAAAAGATTTTTCTCCGGACTGTATCTGCCATGAATTTGAAGATCAAAGTCTCCTTTTTTCAACGGCTGCTAAAAAAGCGATCTGCGATTTTTTCTAGCAATTTCGTGGAACATAAACGAAGAATAAGCGCAGTCGCACGAAATCCTACATAAATTCCATAGGTTCGAAAAATTGCTCGCGTTGACACCGTTGTAATTTCGTGAAAAAAAATCGTACAACGATGAACTCGAACTCATTCGAAAGCTCGAAGCCTCTGCTTCCGATTAGATTTTTCCCCATGACGTAGAACGTTATGCGAAAATGACCTCACGTCAAAGAATGTGCACTTGTTTTTCCAAGTTATTTTCGGCAGTTATGCCAGAAACGATTCCGAAGGACGAAACAGTATATCCCGTCCGCTTAACGCGTCATTGTAACGTAATCCAAAGCTGGGCGAACGGTTTGTCTCGAATGAGCATGACATAATTGTGAAAACGAGCCGGGCCGGGGCCGGACCCGGCCGGGGCCGATCCAATTGCTGAAACAACACTGCGGCCGACGGATTCGTATCGTCGGTCGAGTGGAAACGGACCGGAGTCCGTTGAAACCGAGCCGCTCCGGCAATCCGGTGTTTATGTGGAATGCGGCGCAGCGAGCGCTTTTTTTCAGCCGTCTCGAGTGTCGATCGACAAATCGCAGCCGGCCGGGAAACAGTTGTCGAACTGCGAAAACAACTGTCTTTTCGCGGCCTCTCGTTTAACAAAGTCCCCGGCAGTTTTAATTCGGAGCCGGGGGAAACTCGATGGGGGCCGTTCGAGAGCGCACGGTCCGCCATTGTTCGCATTGTTTCGAATAAATATTTCTCGAAGATAATTATCCGAATGTGAATTCTGTTCAGCCGATTTTCATGCTACGGTCGAATTTATATTATACGTATTATATTTTATAACGACGATTATTCATTATTCGTCATAAATTCTTCTATCCATTTAGCCAGCGTAAATTATTTCTATCTATTTGTGTTCGTCATAAATTATTTCTATCTATTTGTTCGTCACGAATTATTCTATACAGTTGTTCGTCGTAAATTGTTCTATCTATTCATTCGCGTAATATTTTATTCGAATGAATTCTTTAGTTTTGTCTTTTCGTGGAATAGAGAATTTGGCAAATGAACCTTTCTTTCGAAATGATCTTTACACATATGAAAATAGCATTTCGAATATATTTAACTATGTAATATCCATATGTAACTGCTACTTCAAAAGCAGCTTGTTTGCAAAATTTTGTATTAAATGAGAAGATAGAAATATTTATAATCTGTCTACTATTTTAAAAATCTATTTTTCTCCAACCTTACATACATACGCACAAGCCTGTAGAATACATGCCCATCCTGAAATTACCTGATATGAAAAGCCTGCATTTAAAAGTCATTCATAAATAATTGCTGAATATTTCGATCCTCATGTTCTAAATATTCGAACCCCAGAAAATTATAATGAACTTTATAAATTAGTTTCTATTGTATAGGTTTATATATCCTCTCTTCCTCCCTCCCCCCCCTCTCTCTCTTTCTCTCTCTATTATACATATATGAATAATATATAAATATTAATATATATATATATATATATATATATATATATATCTGTCTCTTATACACATCTAGATGTGTATAAGAGACAGATATATATATATATATATATCTGTCTCTTATACACATCTAGATGTGTATAAGAGACAGATATATATATATATATATATCTGTCTCTTATACACATCTAGATGTGTATAAGAGACAGATATATATATATATATATATCTGTCTCTTATACACATCTAGATGTGTATAAGAGACAGATATATATATATATATATATCTGTCTCTTATACACATCTAGATGTGTATAAGAGACAGATATATATATATATATATATCTGTCTCTTATACACATCTAGATGTGTATAAGAGACAGATATATATATATATATATATCTGTCTCTTATACACATCTAGATGTGTATAAGAGACAGATATATATATATATATATATCTGTCTCTTATACACATCTAGATGTGTATAAGAGACAGATATATATATATATATATATATATATATATATAAATATTTTATATAAATATTATAAATTATGTATTATATTTTATATTATATTATATATTAAATATTATAAATTACATATAAATATTTAAAAGAGAAAAATAAATTAAATCGTTTCTTTTTTTCTTCAATTATAAAGTGTTACACAAATTTTGTCGAGAGATATAAATTCAGAATGACAGAATTACATCGGAAATGATGTACGATAAACAACAAGTCGAACAAAAAATAATCCAATTACATGACATAACGAATAAACCAAAATTTTATCAAGGAATATCAAATTTATCATGAACTTTCAATGCGAAAAATTGTTCGTGCAACGTTCCCTACAAATTTCCCATAATCTAGAACATTTCAAGTTCAATTCGAAAAGAAAGTCGTCTGTTCGCCTCATCGTTGCCAAAAGTTCTACGATTTCGCCATTTTTCCCGACCGTGCACCATCGGGGAGCAATTCCATTAATTCGCAAGGAATCCAACGTAGTCGTAGGAGGGCCTTAATACGCAAGGGAAAGTATTATTTGAATTGATCGACGGGAGGGGCCCTGTCAATATCGCAGGACTTTTGTCTTTGAACGGGCGCCGTTTCTTTGAAAGTCGATCACACGTCTCGCAGCCCCCGATCGAGATTATATTAAACGTCCGACATTATTGGATCCAGGCTGGATCGTCTGCAGTGTTTGAGATACGAGAAGGATCCGGGCACTTTGTAAACCAACGACAGAATTCTCCACCGAGTAGACTGGCTCGCGCGGACTCGAGTCTTTCCTCGAGAGACAGCTGCTCCGGCGGATGCCCGGCGTTCCTACGGAACGCACCGGTGTGGCCGATAAAACAATTTGATTATTTACCCCGACCCCGAGAAATCCGCTCCCGAGGTTTTCTCACGAATACGTTCTTTCTGCGCAGCTTGCACCTCCACGCAGTTCAAATGCAGGAACGGCCAGTGCATCGACTTCGAGCTGCACTGCAACGGTGCCAGGGACTGCCTCGATAACTCCGATGAGCGGAATTGCCGTGAGTATATCGTCGACAAGACGTCGCTTATCGTTTTCGTCGCATAAATTGGTTCGCTGTTATTTCTTTGTCCGTTTTGTTTTGTTTTTTTTTCGTTCGTTCTTTCTTTTTTTTCGGCGATCGTGAGATCTATGCAGAGCGTGCGCGTGTCGCGGATCGCTCGTTCCGCTGGGAAAGCGTCAGCTGTTCCACCATGTTAAAAATTAACCCACGCCGAAAGCATCGAGGCCACTCGCTTTTTGTAAATAATTCCACCCGCTCGTCCCGCTCCCAAACTTATTCCCGAGCTTCTTAAACTCCGCGCGCCGCAACCCCGGTAACCTTAGCTCACGGTTCAGCGACGGCTCTGAACGGCGAGCGAGATCGAACAAACCCAACCACGCGCAAGCTTTTTATTCGAATAAAGAATTCTTCGAACTATTCGAATAAAGAATTATTCGAATGAAGGATTGGTTTGAATATTCGAATAACAAAATTGTTCGAAGAAAGAATTACTTAAATAAAGAATTGTTCGAATTATTCGACTAAAGAATTCCTCGAATATAAAATTGTTCTAATAAAGAATTACTCAAATGCAGAATCATGAAATATTATAATTCGAACAATTCCGCCATAATTCGAATGAAATATGCCCTTAAAAGGAATTCACTCAGCTGATAATCTCAGATAAATATTACTTCGATGGCTTTAACCTGCGCGCGAGCTTGAACAAATCCGCACCAGTCAGCGACCGTCTCGTCTGTCCCAATAACTCGATAAAATTCACAGTCGACGAAGCTAGAAGATAATTGAGCAGTTGTTTGTCTGATCCAGTTGGAAACCAAACAGCGGAAAATTCCAAGTAGAATAGGCCAGCGACGATCAGACACGTGAGCCAGTTCTTCGAAGTCGGTTTATCCGGAGAACGTGGAAAACACGTCCGCATATTTTCTATCCCCGGTATTCGCGTCTACGAGCCGGCTCTATCCGAGCGAAATATTTCAGAGTACCCTGCACACAATTCTGGGTCAAGAATTCTGGGCCACCCTGTACGAACGCGTGTGTTCGATTCGCCAGGTGAATCGCGAAGAGGCCATCGACGCGGCCGCCTATTTTCCCGCTCGAACGGGGCACAAGGGGCGAGCAGTAATTCGAACGCTAAAGAATTCGAAATGGTTGATCGCGGGGGTGGGGCCCGCGGCGTATCATCAGGCTATCAGACGGAACGGATCGCGACGATGTTACGAACAGGCTCAATAGTTCTAATAGCTGTGACAATAACAATAGCGTGCGGGGTCGGGCTCGCGTTTCCAGGCCGTTGCACTTGTCAGCCCCTCGCGGCCCCACGCCGCTCGCTCCCCATCAACCCCTATCATTTCCATCCGGCGTTTCGTGGGGACACTCTTCGCTTTTTTATTGCCGCGAGCCACCGACGAAGAAGGTCAATTTTCACTCGCTAAATAAAAAAAGATAAACTCCGACAATCTTTCTCGGCCCTGGCCGGGGGTGGGTAATGAATTTCGAATAATCCATGGCGACAGGACCGTTGCGCACTGGGGTATTCGCACCCGAAGATGGGATCTCCATTCATTTCTGATGCTACGTAATATATTTAGGCTTTTTCTAATAAAACATTATGGCTTTTTTTTTAATTTACTTTAGAAAAAGTAAAAAGAAATTGAGGTGCTCGTGCAAATATTTTTTGATATTCTTTATCTTGCTCGTCTATTTCATTATATTAGTTTATAGTCTCAAATTTCCAATTAACCATTGGTGAATAGTTTTTTTTATTATGGGAATATTTTTATAAAATGGCTTTCTCTCGCTTTTCCGGTGCAAATACATTCTATTCTTTGGCTTTTTCTGTAGATCTTGGACAATTTTCTTGCTAATTGAAACCAACGTGTTTTTATAGAATAAAGTCTCTTCTTTCAAATGAGTCCCAAGCAATTGCTCTACAATCTTTTTTCGCCGTTCCATCGGACTTCGAATCGGAGGTGTGAAATCAGCTGTTTGATAAACGCGTCGTTCTAGGCGAATATTCTTCGATGTTCAAGGTACCATAACTTCGTGGAAATAAATCATAAGATAACGAGCATTGGCTCATTTTGAAGGTTAAAGTCTCCGCTTTCGAACGGTAGAAGTTACATTGTGCTTGAATTTTTTTGCTCGATGTTGCTGTGCGAATAGTGAAAATCCTCATTTTGGGCCGTTTCTCGGATTCAAATGTCTCCGCAGAGCTTAACAAATTTTTTTCGTCGCAGAAACCATCGCGATTTTAAAGAGCGAGATCTCTCGCATCCAAAGAGATTAAAAAAATTGCCCCACGATTTTTTTTCGCAAAGTTACAATATTATTTCGTTCACGTTTCATAAATTATTTTTATCGCGACCGATGAACCACTGTTGGAAAAACGCTTGGAAAATTGCCACAAAATTCGATCGAATTCTGTCGGATAGATTCGATTTCACGGATTTTTTATCCGTCTTTCGCCCGAACAGCGGCGTTGTGCTTCACCGTAGCAGAATTTGCGAACACAAAATGTTCGATCGTCAAAATAATTCTCGCCTAAAACGCCTTCGAATTGAAGCACCGGTCGAGCTATAATTAAAAATGATTCCGCCAGTATTGAAACGGATATCGCTCTTGTTGAAGAAATATTTTTTAGACAGATTTCCTCGGCGCGAAGTAATCGACGCGCAGCCGCGACGAGGTTCGCCAGGGGAAAGCAATTTCGGCGAAATCCGGTTTCGTTTGTTTCTATTTTTTAATTCGTCAACAAACTTCATTAGCGGTATTAATATCGACGCGCGGCGGGGACGCGCGGACGTCGCCGAATTTAGGGCCGGCCCTGCCGGTCGACGGACGAGATTTACTCGCGTTTATTAAGCCGGCCTAATAACCGGCTGCAATTTTAATCCGACGTTAATCTCCAGCGGCCCTTTCGCGCGGCCTCGGCTCCGGAATTTCGCCGGTTTTCACCGGTTTAATCCAATCCGCGGCCGGTAAGCCTCGTCCGCGTCACTCCGATCTTTCTTCGATTGCGCGGAAACAATTCGTCGTGATGAACTCCCCTAAAAACCATGGAAATCACTCGACGAAATGTAGCAACGTGCTAAGAGGCAGAAACGATAAGTCGAGATTAGACAAATTCGTGGCGGCGCACGGTGCCTCGAGCCAGGGTGAATTCGGGAGCAAAAATCGAATTCTACGATTTTACGATCTATTCATGCGTGTTTTACAAGATTAGAGCAGTATTTAATTTTTCCGCCAATGAAAACATATTTAAATAATAATCGGTAAACTTTACTGTATGCATGATGTCATAATATTGTGGATATTATTAATATAATTATTTATTGCACTATAATTATAATTACATATAATTATATATATTATATATAATTGTATATAATATATAATTATAATGATATATTTTAATTATTATTAGTATCTTATATTCTAACGAATATAATAACGAATATTTCATACGTACAATAATATGAAAAAGAAATGTAAAAAGTGTACATTTAATAATATATAATAAGTAATTGTTTAATTAATTCGATGAATTTTTTCTTCGCAAATTTCGTAATTTCTGATTTCGCAGCGTAGAATTTACCACAAAATTTCGCAGTTCCGCTATAGAGTCTAATTTCGTTTGATGTTGCCGCAAAGAGTGGTCCAACGTCCTGTTTGATTTATTTCACTCGCGGCTTAATTTCGCACGATAAAAATCACAGTATTCTTTTTTAATTTTTACAAATATTCTTAGAATCGTCTTGTAATTTAAAATAAGGTTAGTCATATTTAAATATGTCATCTTTCTTTTTGTCCGGATGACTGGTGTACCACTGGACGAAGATAGCTCAATTTGTAAGCGACCGTGGCCGTCCTAAATAAACAATTATAAAAAATAGTCGGGATAATACGGGCGGTTGGTTCTTATGCAATGTTTTAGAAGATAAATCCGCGAAGATATTCAGTCAGAGCGAAGCTGGGATTTTCGAGGAGTATTTTAGAAAAGTCTAATTAAAGTTAAATAAAACGTGCGACACTAAAATACCAATGGTATTTGAAGGAAATGCAAGATGAAAGAAAGGGGTGAATTGAAATGAAGAGTAGAGTGACCGAAATAATAATAATAAAAGTCTCATTCTTGCGGTATATCATTGATCGAATAGAGGTAGTGTGGGTATTACTGCGGACGCCCCAAATACTGCGGTACTTTATAAAAGTAATAAAATCTAGCATTGTATAGTGCGCAATCTTCTAAAAACAAATCTCATAATTTTTTATATGTTTAAAATTGAAAATTTACGACGTACAAGTAACAGCAATCGCATTTTTAATTCATTCATCGACTTTTGATATTCGGCTGTGAGCGCTGATTCGAAAGGCATTTATATTTTGGTAATTAATAATGAATTATTCATTTAAGCGTTATTTTTGGATAAAGTAATCGTTACTTTGATCAAAAATCGACGTACACTGTCACTATCGTCTATCCTCAAATATTATTTACTAACACAGTATTTGGTGCATAGCTTTTTATTATGTTTGTACGTTACTGCAATGTTTTACCGAACTGCGTAGCTTAATGAGCTATGAGCCGATGCGAACACGCTTGATCATAGAGTACCTATATATATACCTAATTAATAAAGTGCTACAGTGAGAATATCTTGATCCTAGGAATTGTAGCTATGTGTGTGTGTGTGTGTGTGTGTACATTTACAAGAAAATGGGTTATGTCACCTTGACACAATAATCGGAACGTCCGCGGTATTTGTCTCGCGGTAATAGATGCATAACCGCGGTAATATATGCACACGCATGGTTTCTTTACGTTAGGCTTCTTAATGAAATTCGTGCTTAAGGAGATACAATATTTTGAGAAAAGCAAATATTCAAGTTAATGAATAATAAGCATAGCTCAAGTCGTCTATTTATTGGCTTGAAACATCTTATCTTCTCTGTCAAAGTTCGCCTTCAGCGAGAAACCGCAGTAATACCTTACCTCGCAGTTTACGAATGCCATTAGCTGAGCTGATTTTGTCGTTTTCCCCTCGGATCGACGCATTGCGCGGCGCACGGATCGTCGGAGCAACACGCTCGCGCGTGTAACGCGATCATCTGTTGGAGAAAAGTGTTATTCGAATCGGTATTCAAGGGTGATCGAGATCGAGTCGATCGCGATCCAGGGAATGGGCGAGGCGGGCCTTGAACCCGGCCGGACGGCCCGTGAATCAGGGGAATTCCTCGGAGGGTCCCGTTTCGCGAGGCTCGTCACGCCCCCGCCGGGCACGTTTGCCAATTTCGAGGTCGCGATCCTGACGATTTATATTCGCCGATCGAGCGGAAAAAGGGGGCACGTCGGCCGGAATCGCGTTAAATCGTAACCAGATTACACGGAGCGGACTCACGCGCGTCCGGATCGAATTAATTTCGACTTTTAATCGCGTTCCATCGGCCGAGGCGGCACGTGACTCGCGCGGCGCGTCGCGTCGGTTCGCGCGCCCGGAGAGGCTTTCCCGCGATCTCTCCGATCAAAAAACCAGGAAACTGAAATATTTCGCGGAGATGTTTTCATTTGAATTTCCAGCGTCGCCCTGGAAATTGTTCGCCACTTCGCGCAGATGTTTTCATTTTAATTGCCGGCGTTGCGCCGATTGTTCGCCACTTCCGTGGCTCTCGAGAACGTTCGCTCATCGATATTCCGGTGACTCGGTTAAGATGAGCGCGGTTCTAGAGCCATGAATGCGTCGACTCTGTCAATAGGCAAATTTCAATACGCTGTCTCGAAGAATGGAACGCCATTGTTCGCCGGCATTGTTCGCCGACCTATTTCTTGGCCGCGGTTAACCTTGATGTTATCGCGGCGATAACTCGCACGCACGTCCTTCGCGATCTAAATCAATCGTGTCCGCGAACACCTCGGCGTNTGTGTGTGTGTGTGTGTACATTTACAAGAAAATGGGTTATGTCACCTTGACACAATAATCGGAACGTCCGCGGTATTTGTCTCGCGGTAATAGATGCATAACCGCGGTAATATATGCACACGCATGGTTTCTTTACGTTAGGCTTCTTAATGAAATTCGTGCTTAAGGAGATACAATATTTTGAGAAAAGCAAATATTCAAGTTAATGAATAATAAGCATAGCTCAAGTCGTCTATTTATTGGCTTGAAACATCTTATCTTCTCTGTCAAAGTTCGCCTTCAGCGAGAAACCGCAGTAATACCTTACCTCGCAGTTTACGAATGCCATTAGCTGAGCTGATTTTGTCGTTTTCCCCTCGGATCGACGCATTGCGCGGCGCACGGATCGTCGGAGCAACACGCTCGCGCGTGTAACGCGATCATCTGTTGGAGAAAAGTGTTATTCGAATCGGTATTCAAGGGTGATCGAGATCGAGTCGATCGCGATCCAGGGAATGGGCGAGGCGGGCCTTGAACCCGGCCGGACGGCCCGTGAATCAGGGGAATTCCTCGGAGGGTCCCGTTTCGCGAGGCTCGTCACGCCCCCGCCGGGCACGTTTGCCAATTTCGAGGTCGCGATCCTGACGATTTATATTCGCCGATCGAGCGGAAAAAGGGGGCACGTCGGCCGGAATCGCGTTAAATCGTAACCAGATTACACGGAGCGGACTCACGCGCGTCCGGATCGAATTAATTTCGACTTTTAATCGCGTTCCATCGGCCGAGGCGGCACGTGACTCGCGCGGCGCGTCGCGTCGGTTCGCGCGCCCGGAGAGGCTTTCCCGCGATCTCTCCGATCAAAAAACCAGGAAACTGAAATATTTCGCGGAGATGTTTTCATTTGAATTTCCAGCGTCGCCCTGGAAATTGTTCGCCACTTCGCGCAGATGTTTTCATTTTAATTGCCGGCGTTGCGCCGATTGTTCGCCACTTCCGTGGCTCTCGAGAACGTTCGCTCATCGATATTCCGGTGACTCGGTTAAGATGAGCGCGGTTCTAGAGCCATGAATGCGTCGACTCTGTCAATAGGCAAATTTCAATACGCTGTCTCGAAGAATGGAACGCCATTGTTCGCCGGCATTGTTCGCCGACCTATTTCTTGGCCGCGGTTAACCTTGATGTTATCGCGGCGATAACTCGCACGCACGTCCTTCGCGATCTAAATCAATCGTGTCCGCGAACACCTCGGCGTTACGAGACGCTCGTACTTCGGGCCGCCGAAACTCGATCGACCGGGATCGAATCGAAGCGCCGAGCGCGCCGATCGATTCCTCGTCGCAGGCCGAACAATGATCGCGCGGCGACTTTGTCCCGCAGGACGCGCCGTTCTCGAGGAAAACGGCTTCAAAGCCGTAAAGGCCCCCGAAGCCACGCACCGGGTGTCCCGAGAACACGCGGACGGCGAACTCGCGGATCGAGGCTCGCGGAAGCGAAAATTTCATTGTCCGACGACTGGCTAGCGAACAGTGGCGAGCAATTAGGGGGAGCAAAGCGGTTTGCGCGCATAAAAGTGTCGAGTTCGATTGTTTCGTCACGCGTTCCGGTGAAAAGGAACGCGGGGGGCGTGTTGCGGGCAAGCGAGACACGTTATGCATACGCGACAATTACGGGACCGCGCGTGCACGCGGCTCCATTTAAACGGCGTCGCTCGGCCTTCCCGTGCTTTTTTTTTCCTCCACATTTTCACTTTTCGTTGTCTGCTGCTGCTGCTGCCGCTGCTTGACACGCGAAAAAGGAAATGGCGGCACGCGATCGAACGCACCGTCGGCGATCCGAATTAATCCAGTTGATCGGTGCACGAGTAAACCGCTTTACCGTCGTCGTCGTCGTCTCTTAAACAACCGTCCCGGTTCTTTTAGCCAGGTTCGTCGGCTACGTACACCGTGTCCGAGAAGTAGGCCGATCATCGGCGACTGATGCGATACACTTTCCTCGGCGAGATTGGATTACGCGTATACCTGGCCAGTAGCAGAATAAGTCGCCGGATTAATACGTTCGATTGAAACGGCCGTGTACCCTGTGTCTTAGTATTACCGTAAAATCTATAGGGTGTTCCAGAAATCGTCGTCGACTCGATGGAAATACAGTATGTTCTACCCAATTCGCGCTCGGATTGCGCAGAAAAATGGACAATTCGGGAAGTGGAGGACGCGTCGCGTCTCGTTTTCATAGTCGTTCACGATCGGTAACTGTAAAAACGAGCCGCAAGCCTCGGACGATCGCATCTCTTCTTCCCAAATTGTCCATCGTCGCGCAATCCGAGCGCGAATTCGGGAGAAATTGCTGCACCGACCGAGCTTTCTGCGATCGCGCGCGCGTGACTTGTTGATCGTTCGACCGTTTTCATCGCCGATTCGTCGTGCAGCCCGTGTCTCGGTTGGTTCCGAGCGATCGATCCCTCAACGTCTTTCCCCTAATTTCGCAAGGAGGTCGGAGGGCTTCCCGGAAATTCCAGGCACGGAACCAGCGAGGAGGTAGCTCATTCTTTCGAGTGCACTCGGTTCGAAGAGTCGTCCATCCTCGATCGTTAGCTAATTGCCGCCGTAAATTAGAGCCGCGTGTTGCCCCCGTAACTCCTTGTTCATTTATAATCTCTTCCGCGAAATTTCCTCGGGTGCGTGTTAATTAATAGCCGACCCCCGAGGTTCGCGTTCTCCTTCCTCTCCGCATGCTAATTAATTCCCTACGACTGCTTTTCTTTTCAACCTTCCGCCGGGCCACACCCCCGCCGTCCCGGCGACCGTGTCTCACCGTTTCATCTTTCCGCCGGCATCCGGCCGGCGTTTCGTCGATAGCGAGCCGTTCTCCCTCGCCGGAACTGGATGGTGGCTCCTCTCGTAAATCTGCGCACGGCTTCCTTTCCTCGAGATCCGTTTTCCTTTCGGAGGAAGCAACAGCTCAACCGGCTGGCTCCAGCGACCGTCCCGTATAAACCATCGATATCGCTCCGGTCCGATTCCGGACCAATACGCACGGACCGATTCCTCTATCTTTCTTGTTCATGTTCGCCCTAATCTCGATCTTTGTCTTCGTCAATCTGTTTCAACGTGCTTTCAGAAGATCATCGTCATCGATCAGTCGCTATTTGTCTATAATTAATGTCTGTGTTTCGTCGAACCAATACGCTCGGACCGATTCCTCCACGTATCTCGTCCACGTTCACTCTAATCTCGACTTTTGTCCTTGTCAATCGGCCTCACTGTGCTTCTAAAAGATCATCGTCTCCGATCAGTCGCTATTTACCCATAATCAATACCTGTGACATGTCGAACCGATACATTTGGACCGATTCCTCCACGTTTCTCGTCCACGTCCACTCTAATCTCGATATTTGTCTTCTCAACATGCTTGCAGAAGATCATCGTCTCCGATCAGTCGCTATTTGTCTATAATTAATACCTGTGTTTCGTCGAACTGATTCCTCACACTCAACACTCGGACCGATTCCTCCACGTTTCTCGTCCACGTCCACTATAATCTCGATTTTTGTCTTCGTCAATCTGTCTCAACGTGCTTCCAAAAGATCATCGTCACCGATCAGTCGCTATTTACCCACAATTAATGTCTATGTCTCGTCGAACCGCACGGACCAATTCCTCCATGTTTCTCGTCCACGTTCACTTTTTGTTCTGGTGAATCTGTCTCACATGCTTCCAAAAGAGATCATCGTCTCCGATCAGTCGCTATAATCGTCCATGATTAATACCTGTGCCACGTCGTACCACCGCGATCGGATCATAACGTGCTGTCGCCGCACATAATTGTGTTGACCGTGCCGGCAGAAGTCTGCCAACGTGTCGGCCATCCGCTGTCAATGTGGCTTACTCTGTCTCCAAGTTCTCGAACATTCTTGCAGGCTGCACGGATGACCAATTCGAATGCTCGCCTGGGTATTGCGTGTCGGCGTCGAGACTGTGCGACGGCACCTTGGATTGCACTGACGGAAAGGACGAGGCGAATTGTTCCGACACGAGTATGGTTCTAACACGCTAAACAGGATTCCCGTAACACCGCGATCCCCTGTCCCTCCTGTGTTTCGCTGCTATCGTTACGCGTGGATCCCGAATTATCCGGCCGCCGATAAATCACGGTCGACGAGCGCGGCGATTCGATCCAGGGAATCGAAGCGGGGCGGTCGCGTGGCCGTTCGGCCGGGTAAATCGTTCGTCCAAGGATATAACGGCCCCCCCGATAATGGACGGTTGTTTCTCGAGCGATTAATAGCACGCCGCGATCTCTCTGGATCTCGTTTCCTTTCCTTTATTCCGCGCCGAAGGAGCGCGAGACGGGCCGACGCTCCGCGCGCGCGATTAATCCGATTCATTACGATCGCTCCGCTGCCTAATTATCGCTATCCGCCTCGTTTCCCTTCCAGTGACAGACCAATTCCGCTGGACGCTCGCTTTCGCCCCGTTCCAGCCGCCATTTACGCAAGAACCGGCAGTTTCTCCCATGGCGCTCGCGATTCCCTCTTAATGCTCGATGCATGCGATTTTTCCACGACGCTCGCGATTCCCTCTTAATGCTCGACGCAAGCGATTTTTCCGTGGCGCTCGCGATTCCCTCTTACTGCTCGATGCATGCGATTCTTCCACGGCGCTCGCGATTTCTCCTTACCGCTCGTTGCTTGCGATTTTTCCGTAACGCTTCGCGACTCGTCGGCGCTGCTCCGTCGCTCGCGATTTTCCGGCAGCGAGTGCGACCCGCGAACGGCGGCCGCGATTCCCCAGTGACCTCATTCGAAATTCCCATAATGCTTGTTTAAAAGGCCCCGCAATTACGAGCGGCGCGTACACACGACTCGTTACGAGGCCAGAATCGCGTTTCCTGGCGCGACAACGGGGTTCGTTTGGCGCGCTAATAGAATTCATTTAAAACGCGCCGCGACAACGGCATTCCTATCGGAAAGAATAACAGATCGCGGCAAGGCGCGACACGGTTTTCCATTAATTCTTTAATTCAGCCCGCCGAACAATTCGGGCCCTCCTCCCCCGCCCCGTTTTTTACAGCGAACGCGGCGCCGATTGTTCCGGGTCGTTGCGGCCCGCGCCTCGAATCGGGCTCCCTGTAATTCCCGCGGCGTTTCCGTTCATCATTTCGCTTTGTTTTCTTTTCCACGGCGAACAGTGCACTGCCGGGAGGACGAGTTCCAGTGCGGAACCGGAAGTTGCGTCAGCCTGAGCATGAGATGCGACGGACGATCGGACTGCGACGATCGCTCCGACGAGCACAATTGCAGCGGTATTATTTTCTTTGGTTTTTCTCCTTATTTTCGATTCGGTTTCTCGTACGTTCTCATTTAGCGGGATTTATTCGCTTCTCTCTCGTTCTCTCTCGTTCTCTCTCTCTCTCTCTCGTTCTCTCTCGTTCTCTCTCTCTCTCTCTCTCGTTCTCTCTCGTTCTCTCCCTCTCTCTCTCTCTTTCTTTTTCTCGCTTTCTCTCTTTTCTCTCTCTCTCTCACTTTTTCTCTGTCTCTCTTTTTCTTTGACTCTCTTTTTCTCCATCTCTCTCTTTTTCTCCCTCGCTTTATCTCCGTCTCTCTCATTTCTCCCTCTCTCTCTCCTTCTCTCTCTCTCCTTCTCTCTCTCTCGTTTCCTTCGCTTTACAGAATCAATTTGAGACTCCGTAACCCGGTCGAGGCGTTTCTTAATCTCGGCTCCGTCGTGTTGCAGTGACGACATGCAGCAGCGACCAGTTCCGGTGCAGCGACGGCACGTGCGTCAACATCAACAAAAGGTGCGACAACGTGATCGACTGTCGGAACGCCGAGGACGAGCTACAGTGCGGTAAGTGCACCTGTTCCCGGCCCTCCCGCCAGTGGAAACGTGATTTCGATTGCCTCCAAGGAACAGACAGGGCGCACCTTGGGTGGCCCGCGCCCGCGGGGATATCCACGGCCTCTGGAATACTTTAATGGGACGACGACGAACGTCTGAGTCCCCTTATTACCGGAGCAACAAGTTGCTCCTGCCGATGGGGATTGATACGGCGCACAGCCGGGAAAAATGACCCCGAGTTCGTGTCGAAGAACTTTTGGCAGGAATCGGACAGAGGGACGATGCTTTCTTTTCGTTTTTTTTTTTTTTTTAATTGAACTTCAAATGTTCTGGGACGAGGGAAAATTATAGAGGATGTCGCGCGAAAATAAATTAATTTTATATTAAATTTTCGACATTGAAAATTTACGTTAGATTTGATGTTTTTCGATACGATTTTTGTTGGTCCGTTGTGACGTGTGATTGAATTTTTTGTCTCGACTTGTTATTTACGTTTTGACTTGTTATTTATTTCTTGACTGTGTTGTACATCATTTTCTATAGATTCTGTCAAATTAAATCTCGAAGCGAACGTTTTGCACATCATTTCAGAGTTCGAGAAGGATAACGATTTAATTAATTTTTCGGTCATAGTGTAACGCCCATTTATTTATATATTGCATCACCCGACACGTGCAATCGAATGGTATGGTTGTAAAATTATCTAAAATAGGCGAATAAATCAAATTTTAATTAAAAAATAAAATAAATTCAGAAACGTTGCACAAATCTTGCAGCGAGATTTACGATTCGGTGTAACAGAGTCCGTCACAGAAAATAACAGAATCCGAAATAAGAAATGACGTATACCGAGTGAAGAAAACAATCGAATCACACGCCACAATGGACAAACCAAAATTCCATCGAGAGATATAAAAATTTGAATATAAATTTTGAACGTCGAAAATTGTCCGTGCGCAATCCTCTATAACTTTCCCCTATACCAGAAACATTTTCTGGTATAAAAAAAAATCATCCCATTATCTCATTTTNTCGATTCGGTTTCTCGTACGTTCTCATTTAGCGGGATTTATTTGCTTCTCTCTCGTTCTCTCTCGTTCTCTCTCTCTCTCTCTCTCGTTCTCTCTCGTTCTCTCCCTCTCTCTCTCTCTTTCTTTTTCTCGCTTTCTCTCTTTTCTCTCTCTCTCTCACTTTTTCTCTGTCTCTCTTTTTCTTTGACTCTCTTTTTCTCCATCTCTCTCTTTTTCTCCCTCGCTTTATCTCCGTCTCTCTCATTTCTCCCTCTCTCTCTCCTTCTCTCTCTCTCCTTCTCTCTCTCTCGTTTCCTTCGCTTTACAGAATCAATTTGAGACTCCGTAACCCGGTCGAGGCGTTTCTTAATCTCGGCTCCGTCGTGTTGCAGTGACGACATGCAGCAGCGACCAGTTCCGGTGCAGCGACGGCACGTGCGTCAACATCAACAAAAGGTGCGACAACGTGATCGACTGTCGGAACGCCGAGGACGAGCTACAGTGCGGTAAGTGCACCTGTTCCCGGCCCTCCCGCCAGTGGAAACGTGATTTCGATTGCCTCCAAGGAACAGACAGGGCGCACCTTGGGTGGCCCGCGCCCGCGGGGATATCCACGGCCTCTGGAATACTTTAATGGGACGACGACGAACGTCTGAGTCCCCTTATTACCGGAGCAACAAGTTGCTCCTGCCGATGGGGATTGATACGGCGCACAGCCGGGAAAAATGACCCCGAGTTCGTGTCGAAGAACTTTTGGCAGGAATCGGACAGAGGGACGATGCTTTCTTTTCGTTTTTTTTTTTTTTTTAATTGAACTTCAAATGTTCTGGGACGAGGGAAAATTATAGAGGATGTCGCGCGAAAATAAATTAATTTTATATTAAATTTTCGACATTGAAAATTTACGTTAGATTTGATGTTTTTCGATACGATTTTTGTTGGTCCGTTGTGACGTGTGATTGAATTTTTTGTCTCGACTTGTTATTTACGTTTTGACTTGTTATTTATTTCTTGACTGTGTTGTACATCATTTTCTATAGATTCTGTCAAATTAAATCTCGAAGCGAACGTTTTGCACATCATTTCAGAGTTCGAGAAGGATAACGATTTAATTAATTTTTCGGTCATAGTGTAACGCCCATTTATTTATATATTGCATCACCCGACACGTGCAATCGAATGGTATGGTTGTAAAATTATCTAAAATAGGCGAATAAATCAAATTTTAATTAAAAAATAAAATAAATTCAGAAACGTTGCACAAATCTTGCAGCGAGATTTACGATTCGGTGTAACAGAGTCCGTCACAGAAAATAACAGAATCCGAAATAAGAAATGACGTATACCGAGTGAAGAAAACAATCGAATCACACGCCACAATGGACAAACCAAAATTCCATCGAGAGATATAAAAATTTGAATATAAATTTTGAACGTCGAAAATTGTCCGTGCGCAATCCTCTATAACTTTCCCCTATACCAGAAACATTTTCTGGTATAAAAAAAAATCATCCCATTATCTCATTTTCGTCGAAAGTTCTGCGATCTTGACAGAAACTCGGTCATCTTCGCCGACCGTGAACGGCGTTCCGGAGCCGTTACGGAGAATTTTCAAGCTTCCCGACGCGACGCCGTCCTTCGAAGATCAGAAAGATCGTTCGCGTCCGTTAGCTCGATCTCCGAACGGCTCGCCGAGCGCCGAGGATCGACCCGAACATCGCGGACGCCCGCCCCGATGCTCCCCCCCCCCCCTTAGTTCGATTTACGATTTTCCATGCTGACCGAACATAACCGAGCGGATGTGGCGTCTCCCCGTGCAATTTTCCGGCATGCCACGCTCCGTCAGACTTCTCCAGCCCCCGCACCCCCCGGGAATCATGCCCAATCAATCAGCTACTCGCCCGTACCCTGCGCGTCGTTCGACGACGGAACCGCTTCGAATCTCGTTCGTCGGCTCGGCCGGGCCGCGAGGAGGCCCTTGGACGCGTTCGAAGCGGTTCGACCTTGAGCCCCGATTCGCGTCACCCCGGTTCAGTGGGGGTTCATTCTCGCGGGGGAGACGAGGCGCTTTTAACCCTTCGAGCCGCGCGGAGGTTTCGCGCGAACGAGCGCGGACCTGTCGCCGTCGCGTTCCCCCGCTGGTCCGCGTCGCTTCTCGCGGCCGAGACCTCGTCCGCCGGACGATCGTCGTTCGTCGGTTCAAGGGTTAAACGTGCATGAGTATGTGGTATGGAAGCAGGTTGCGGAGAAGGCGAGTTCCAATGCGCGAACGGCCAGTGCATCGCCTACGTGTTGCAGTGCACCGGGATAGAGGACTGCGCCGACGGTTCCGACGAGAGGGATTGCGGTAATTATGCCATTTCACGCCACCTACTTTAACCCGAACACTAACCCGAACACTAACACGAACACCGACACCGGCCGCGCGTTTCGCGGCGGTCGCGTAGACGAACGCGATCGATCGCGCGCCGCCACTAGCTAGGGAATTTCCGTCGACGGGAACCGCGTTGAATTTTTCGCCGGACCGCGCGGCCTCGGCCTCTGCACGCCGCGTGTCCGGCGCGGGTCTACAGCCTAGGGGAATTTAGAGAAGCTTCGTCGTTCCTTGCCAGAATCTCCCGGATCCTGCGGAGAATCTCCCGGATCCCGCGGAAAGTTTCCTAGATCCTTGGATTTCCTAGATTCCTGGATCGTAGGCTGATTTTCGCGGGGCCTAGGGCGAGCCTCCCGGATCCTAGGGGGGATCTAGACCCTAGGGAGAATTTCCTGGACCCTGTTTGGTAACGTTGAATCGGCCGCGATCGTTCATCGTGATCGTCATCCTAGAGAAATTTTCGTGGCGGAACGTGTACAACGACGTGGGGATGTTCATGGCGAGGTTTAACATATCTCGAGAGCAGCTGACGATAATAACGTCGGCCATGAAATCAGACCCTGAAGGGAGAAGCGGCTCGATAAATGGAGGAGCACCGATCGGTTTCTATAATGCACGCTCGAAGCGTTCCGGCAACATTGGCCGACGACTGTTGGAGAAGCTGGAAGACTTCGCTGATCAGACCACCGAGACGATCTCGAAGAGGACGGTGCGGAGAGGAAGGAAGGGGAGGAGGGTGACGCGTGCGACCGAAGGGACCCCGAAGAAGGACTCGGACGTCGACGATTCGACCGCGACTGACACGGAGGAGTTGTCCACGCCTGCTTCGATCTTCGGAGGTGACGCTAGGTCCGCGGTTGCTGAAGGGAACATGGACATGAAGAAGAAGAAGAAGAGGAGGAGGGGGAAGCATCGGAGAAGAAAGCACCCGAAGGACGACTCCGACGTCGATAATTCGACCGCGACTGACACGGAGGAGTTCTCCACGCCTGCTTCGATTTTTGGGAACGCTGTCAAGTCCATTGTTGCCGAAGAGAGCCCTGTGTTGGAGGAGAAGAAGAAGAAGAGGAGGAGGAAGGGGAAGCATCAGAGACGAAAGAACCCGAAGAACGAGACCGACGCCGATAATACGACTGTAGTTGACACGGAGGAGTTGCCCACGCCTTCTCAGATCCTCGCGGACGCCTCCTGGTCCACGGTTGCTGAAGAGACCACCGTGTCGGAGGGGAAGAAGAAGAAGACCGGAAGGAGAAAGCATCGCAAACAAAAGGCCGGGAAGAACGCGAAGAACGCGAACGTGGTTCGCGAAGAGGATTCGTCAACGTCTGAGGCGATCGTCCAGGATGCAACTTGGGCTGCGTCGAGCGTTGCTGAAGAGGAGACCGAGACACCGGAGGTCGAACATCTGTCGCGATACATTTATCGTACCGCCGCGATGAGATACAGCGCTTCGACGGAACCTTCGGCCTCCACAACTGACCTTTATTCGTCGCAGTTCAAGGTATTTAGCGACGGGAGTCTGAAAGAGAATGAGATAGAACTTGAAGATGGCGGTGGCAGCACGAGGAACGGATTGGAGATCGTGGGAGACGAAGGGGAACGTCCGAGTTCTTCGACCCAGGAGTGGACATCAGCGGAAGAGACAACGTCCGTCGAACCTTTCGAGGCAACTACGGGCGAATGGTTCACTGACGAAGGTGCCGAAGACCTGGCAACGGTACGCGAAGACAGCACTGTGCAGATAAATACAGAGGAAGATGTTGCGATCAAGACAAGATTGTCGCGGTTCTCCGCAGAACGCTTCGATGATGACATCACCCGGACAACGGTGGAGGACATCAGCACCGAATCGACCGATTCCAGGAACAACGCGAAGGACAACGTTAAGTGCAGGCTGTTGAAGAAGTATCTGAAGATCTTCTTGAACGAAAGCGACGAGATCTTCGTGGAGTTGAGCCGCATCTGTCCCAAGGACTGCGACCAGTACTGGAAACTGCTGCTCCAGCACATGGAAATATACTCTAACCTGAACGGCTCCGGAGAGGCGGCGACGTTCACCACAGACGAGGCGAACTACACCCCGGAGAACCCTGAAGAGTCGAAGGAACAGGCGGACCTCTGGGGAGCCAGCTCTAATCTCAGCAAAACAACAGTGTCCCCGGACTTGGTGGAGGTGTTCGTCGGGTGGAGCACGAGGAAGCCAAAGTCGGGTCACGGAGGGAAAAAGGAGCACGGGAACAAGGCGAGGAAGAAAGCGAACCGGTCCAGCGCGACCGTCGACAACTTCTCCAACAGGTACCCCGATTGGACCTCCACGGCATCACCGAAATATTTAGACCCCGAGGAGCGTACTATCAGCCCGATGGAGGATGATTCGACGAGCAAACAGAGTGCCGAGACACCCGGGTCTTCGACTCTCGGACAGAATATGAGCATGACCGAGTTCATCGTGGAGCCGAGGGGGTCGTCGCAAGTTTACTTGTGCGGGGATGACATGTTCCTCTGCGACGACGACTTATGTGTCTATAACAGCATGAAGTGCGACAGGCAGCAGGACTGCAAAGACGGCACCGACGAGTTCGATTGCCACGACTTCGGCAACGGCGACACGAACCATAGGCAGAGGGGCGACCTGCCGTCCTGCAGCGAGTACCAGTTCCCCTGCGACGGCAGGTGCATCGACAACGTGTATGTCTGCGACGGGCACACCAACTGCAGGAACGGAGTCGACGAGGCCGATTGCGGCGACGAAGGTAGTTCAGAATGGGTGTGCAGCTGTCCTCTTCCTAAGCTGTACAGACTATCTCGCTTCGTGGGACACTCAGACGCCGGATGTCCGCGGAGCTAGTCGGACTCCGGGCATTCTTTCTGTCGATGTTGTACAAAACGGCTTCGAACTGGCGAAGAAGAGTCTTCCGTGCTCGGACTTCTATGGGAACTTTGTGACGTCCAATCTGTGCTGTACAAAAACGCCTTGGGAGGATCTAGGGGATTTCATCTGCTCCGACGATTCCCTCGGCATTCGCGATCTTAGATTCTCGAGAGGCTAGAGCTAGGTCTGACATCACTCGGGGACTCTCGAAGCCCCTTAGGATTTTTCTAGGGAACAGCCGAGACGCCGCGAATGCGAGGGAGGAGTCCGACGAGCACTTTTAATCCCCAGAAAATTCCACTAGAGAACAGTGGGCTCTATGTTCGAACGGAGCACGACGAGCTCTGTTTATTAGTGCTCGCCCGGGACCCGGCGAGCTAATCCCACCGGATTTGCTCGGACACGTAGTTCCCGTTTCCTTACCCGTCGAGGTAGCTAGCTGCGAACAGACACAATACGTTCCACTCGATACCCAGACACTGTACATAAACCCACGGAATATTATTCTAACCCGTCCACCAGGGGCTTCTTCAGATTGCTTTAAGTGTTAGTCAGCTTCGAAGGACTCCCCTGTAAAAAGTCCCCCCCACCCCCCACGTTGTATCCAGCCCCGTCGAGGAGTTGGTCGCTCTGCTGGGCTGCGGATATTCAGAGGAAAAGTCGCTTCACTGCCGAGAGGATCGAAGGCCTTGCCACGCCGACTGGGCTCTATGTCTGATCAATCACGAGATCATTAGCAAAACCCGTTCCTGACTCGATTTGAATATGCGTCTTACCAGTCACTCCAGTTTCACAAATCATTGACCCACTAGGCGTCTGACCACGTACTTTCCTATTCTCCTTGATGCCTAACCAATGATTGACTCGATCTACTAGGTGTCTGACCACGTACTCTCCTGTTCTCCTCGACGTCTGACCTACATTTCCTCGACCTACTTGCCCGCCGTCTAACCACTTATCGGATCAATTCACTCGGCGTCTGACCATGGACTGTACACAATCTACTTCACCGTCTGATCAGTAGCCGGTTCAATCCACTTCGAGTCTGGTCCATCCGACTGAATCTACTTGACTCACCTGACTGACTACTGGTAGACTGAATTTGCTGTGTCCGAGCAGACGCGAGATTGATCTACTTCGCGGCTGAACAATGCCCGACCGAATCTACTCGACTAAGTCGAATCTGCCGTGGACTTCGAGGCCGTGCAACGGCGAACCTATTCCACTCGGAGACCGATCAAGAACCGAGTCGGCGTGGCAAGGCGACCGGTGAGCTTACGGGCCGAGGAATATATCGCAGGCCCACAGTGTACTGTAACGATTACTGTGACAAACTGCTTTCAGTGTGTCGACGTCCCGTGTCGCTTTAAATGTGTCCCAGGGTGGACAGCTTTTGTACATAACGCTCCCCCGACGGGGCTTCGAGCTTTTCACGGTCGGGCGATCCTCGTGGTTGAGCCATGGACCCGCGAACAGCCCGGAGCCTCGGAGAAAGGGGTGGCCAGTGTTGACGAAACAGGCTGTTTGTTTTTGCCGGTGGCGCCCTGTAGATTCGGCCCCGTGCCCTTCTATGGACTTCACCTGCAGCGACGGCTCTTGCATATCGAAGGGCGCGGTTTGCGACGGATTGGACGACTGCCCGAGGGCAGAAGACGAGCTTGACTGCGGTATACAATCACTTACGTTCTCTAACGGGGCCGTTCGACGTGCGCCGATCCATCGATTCGTCGATCCTATCGATCGCGATGGATCCTAGGGGAGAAGCGAACGCGCGAACGGTACCAGCTTCCGCCTGCTACAATAATCCTCGCCTCTCGGGGCTGCTCTGTGACAGCGTCGGACAGGGTCGCGACGATGAACGCTCGGAATCACAGTCTTCGTTAATTAATTGGAAACTTTCCGTTGCGCGAATTTTTGTATTTCGTTTCAGCTTAATTAATTGTATCTCATTCTATTCTATTTTAATCTATTATATTGATTATATTTATTATATTTGATTTCATTTTGTTATATTATATTTTTTATATTTGATTTCATTTTGTTTCATTCTATTATATTATATCTTTTATATTTGATTTTATTTTATCTCATTTTATTATATCATATCTTTTATATCTAATTTCATTTTATTTTATTATATTATATTTTGTTTTCCTTTGAAAACAAAACTTTCCTTTATTATATGGTATTGGATGTATAAGGAGACGATAAAATTCCGATTATACGAACTTCATTAATTGAAAATTTTGAAACGGCGGTAAGCGGCATCGGATTCCGACTTAAGCCGACCGAGGTCGCTCCGCGCGTATTGATTTTAGGGATCGCCGGCTCTTATCCAATTTCAATCGCGGTTCAATGAAGCGGCGTTTACCGAAAAGTCGGTTTATTTTCACGGTCCGGATAGCCGCGGATCGAAAACACGCCGCGGACGCGTTTCCGGGCATCGGAACGTTCATCGTCGCTGTCCTCCTCGCACTAATAGCTTCGCGTGTCCACCGCCCCCCCCTCTTGTTAATCTTGTAAATTAATTGTGCGTAGCGTGAACGATGGTCGCGAGACTTTATCGTTCCGGTCGTAGAACTAACGGTGACCGGTTGTTCGATCGATTAACCGTTGATCCTGTAAGTTGCACCCCGAATACGGATCCCGTAACTCGCGACAAGCAAACAGCTTTCGTACTAGTGTTGGTCGAACGCTTTCGTTGTTCGAGCTTCTTTCAGCTTCCGTGGTGTCACGATAGAAACGAAAAGCCCGAGGAGAATAGTTCACACAGAAGTAGCCCTCCTTTCGTCGAGGAACTGTCGACCCCTGTCTCGGGGAACAGGGGGCGTGCCTGTCGGAGGTCCTCTTATTTCGATGATCGCCGAGAGTGTCACGCGAACGAGGGCCCTATAGTCGGTCACCTCCTTCGGGGCCACCCCCTGGTCCCCGAAACGAAGTTCGCCGCTTCCCAGTTGATCGTCGACATCTCTGTACATAAATGTGTGTTCTCTGCTCATATATATTCCCGCTGCGACACAAACGACCGCCACACTAAACAAACAGAACGGGAATGCACGCCCACGCAGTTCAAATGCCACTCCGGGAACAAGTGCATCGAGGGGGTCTACAGGTGCGACGGCCATCCGGACTGTCCCGACCACAGCGACGAAGATTGTGCGAACAAGAACAATACACACACGACTGAGCTTCCCAGTACGCCTTTTCTCCCCATTTTTATTTCATTTTCCCGTTCGTTTGTACGTTCGTGGAACGCCGGCCGCGCGGAATCCTATCGCCGGTTTCTCAAGTGTGCGAAATTTTGAACATACTTTCGGGACCACTTTAACGAGGATTCCGCGCACCGGTGATATCAATTGTAGGCACTGGCGGATCCGGGGCGAGGCCCTTCGATTTGATCCGGTTCGATTGGCCGGGAGTGTTCGAGATGTTTGAGAAGGTTCGAGCAAGTTTGATCTGGTTCGACGGAGTTTGAACAAGTGGCGGCGCAAGTTTGAGAAATTCTTGGCCGAGCCACTCGGAAAGAAGGACCTCTAACCGGGCCAGCCAGTGTCACTCAAGACCCTCATATATGTTTTGATGTCTGCTTTGGACTGTAATTCGACTCCTCTCCCTCTGCGCTGTGTGCTTGCCGCACGAGTCCACAGTCTGCCCAGGTAGAGACTGTCGTTGTTTGTCCAGCACTCGCCGACGGGGATCAGGCCGCTTTAATTAATTAGCCGGATTAAAGAATCCGGCCTTCTTTGCTCTCGCGAGAGATCCTACTCGAAGGGTCCATCCCGCGCAGAGAACGGCCGGAACGAGGAGCGTCCTGGTCCCCGGCCGTACTTGTTTGCTCACCGCCTAGTAACCGCTTCGTTTTTTGGGAGTAGTATTTTTCGCAACGCATTGTTTGTCTATGTGAACCGCTCAGAACCGTCTTGGCCTACCTGGACCGATCCGGGACCAAGGGAATGCGATCCGAGCAAGCATATGCGTTGCGACGACGGCAGATGTGTGCTGCTAAGACGCAAATGCGACAATATCTTCGACTGCCTAGATGGCAGCGACGAACGTGGCTGTGGTAAGACCTCTGTTCATCCTACAACGGGTCGCTCGGTTGCTCGCGCATTCAGAATACGGTGATGAACGTGGCTTACTTTGTAGTCTGAACCGTGATCGACTCAATCTACTGAAAGTTTGACAAGTAATTGACACAGTTTACTGAAAGGCTGGCCAATAACTGATCCACTCTACTGAAAGGCTGACGAATAATTGACCCAATCCGCCGAAAGTCTGACAAATAATATATCCAATCTACTTAAAGCCTGACCAATAATTGATCCAGTCTACATAAAGCCTAATTAATAATGGATCCAAGCTACTTATAGTCAGACCAATAGCAGACCTTATCCCATTACATCTTATTAGTAGCAGCCTAAAAATTTGACCAGTAACAGCCCTAATCCACTTGAAGTCTGACCAGAAAGAATCCTAATCTCCTGTAAGGCTGACCAGTAGCAGGCCTAATTTACTCAAAGCCGGTTCACTGACAGATACTGCCCACTTGAAGTCTGACCAAAAACATACCTATTCCACTCAAGGTCCCACTAGGATGCGTCAATTGCTGTGACTCCTCCTGGTTACTATGCCCTTACAATAATTTTGCTTGTATCTAAAAACAGTATTATTAAATCGAAGGATATCGTGTTCTTGATATATTTGAATCATGAAAAAGTTCGTACTCGTATAAAAGACATCAACGTATAATTAAAATGTTTCAAGAAGTGCGATACAGCTGAAAGAAATTATTCAATTTGCCAGAAACTTCGGACGTGATTTTAACGAGCATGGTAATCGTCGCATCCTTAAACTGACGACCTTAAATCTTGACTGGGACCA